CTCCGGAGACTTCCTCATGGCTCCCACCTTCCTCCCTCTCCTCCTCCTCATCCTCCCCCACCTCCCTTCCCTACCAGCCATGACTGACACCGAAGCACTGACCATCTTCCGCCACCAAGCCGACGTTCATGGCATTCTCGCTGCGAACTGGAGCTCTCCCGACGCCTGCAATGGTCAATGGCACGGCGTTTCCTGCTCCGGTGATCGAGTAACTTCGCTATTACTTCCATCACTTGACCTCCGCGGCTCTCTCGACTCCCTCTCCCATGTCGACCAGCTCCGCCTTCTCGATCTTCACAGCAATCGGCTCAACGGAACTCTGCTCCCTCTCACTTCCTCTCTTCTAAAGCTCAAATTTTTATATCTCTCCGGCAACGATCTCTCTGGTGAGATCCCGGTTTCCATCGGCCGACTCTCTCGGCTGCTCCGAATCGATCTCTCAAACAACGATTTACACGGTTTTATTCCCGCGTTGGGCAATCTTTCTCGCTTGCTCACGCTTCGTCTTCAGAACAATTTGTTGGCTGGTCGGCTTCCAGATCTGAATGTAATTCTTCCGAAGCTCGTTCAGCTTAATGTCTCAAACAATCAGCTTTCTGGAAGAGTGCCTGATGGAGTGGTAGAGAAGTTTGGGCTCGCTGCGGTGGCTGGTAATGCCGGACTCTGCGGGCTGCGGGGTCATCTCCCTCTCTGCTCCTTTATACCACACGATTCTCATCCTTCTGTTTCGTCCTCCCCTGTTTCTCAACCCATGGTTACCTCAACCGCGAGCTCCATTCCGCACTCCCATGCCGGCGGGGAAAGGAGGGAACGAGACGGGTTGAGCACCGGTGCAATTATCAGCATTGTGATAGGGAATGTCGCGTTATTTTCACTTCTATTTCTCCTGCTCTTCGCATACTACTGCTGCGCAAATCACCTTGGTGAAACAGAGGGAAAAGTAGACACTGAAGAAGGCGGAATAGAAGACTATAAGCACAGCAGCTGCAATTCTATCTCCAATGAGGAGAAGAGGAAGAAGAAAGAAGCTGGTCGAAACAGTGATGATGGAAGCGGGACCGAGATGGAGAGCAAGCTGGTCTTCTTCGACAAAACCATAGGAACGGGAAGCAGAAGGGGGAAGAAGAAAGCGGGCAGATTTGAACTGGATGAGCTGCTACGAGCTTCAGCGGAGATGGTGGGAAAGGGAAGTATCGGCACCGTGTACAGAGCAGTACTCGAAGATGGTGAAATGGTGGCCGTGAAGCGACTCAAAGACGCCAATCCCTGCTCTTTCAATGATTTTAATAAGTATATGAATCTCATCGGCCGTCTCTCTCATCCTAACCTCGTCCCTCTCCGAGCTTACTACTACGCCAAACAGGAGAAGCTTCTAATCTACGACTATCTCCCTAACGGAACTCTCTCCTCTCTTCTCCATGGTAGCTGCTTCTGCAAGTTTTGATTTTTATGATATAACTGCTTACCCATCACTGATTCCATGAAAATTGAGCAGGGAAACGAGACTCCGGGAGAGTGCCGTTGGATTGGACGACAAGAGTGAGTCTGGTTCTGGGAGCGGCAAGGGGGCTCTGTTGCATCCACGAAGAGTACATTTCTTCAAAAATCCCTCATGGAAACATCAAATCATCCAACATATTGCTCGACAAAAACGGTAGAGCCTGCATCTCCGACTTTGGGCTCGCTCTGCTTCTCAATCCGGCGATCTCCGCCGCCAGATTGGCTGGCTGCACGGCACCGGAACAAGCGGAAAGTTGCAAGCTTTCTCAAGAGGCTGACGTCTATGCTTTCGGAGTCTTGCTTCTCGAGGTCCTCACCGGAAGGGCGAACGGCGGCGGAGGAGTGAGCTCGAACTTGCCGGAGTGGGTGCGGTCGGTGGTGAGGGAAGAGTGGACGGCGGAGGTTTTCGATGTGGAGCTGATGAGATATAAGAACATTGAGGAGGAAATGGTTGCAATGCTTCACGTAGCGCTGGCCTGCGTTGCTCGTCGGCCGGAAAAAAGACCAGTAATGGCGGAGGTGGTGAGGATGATAAAAGAAATAAGGGTTGAACAGTCGCCGCTCGCCGGCGATGATGAGGAAGACGGTGAGCTGAGTGAGTCTCGCCGCACCTCTGCGTCACCTTCACTCCCGACCACCGCGACGGAAGATGCTCGTTATAGCTGCGCGCTTACAGAGTGAATCTAAGGGAACTTAGATTCGTTTAGCTCGATTTAGAATCTGTTTGTGTTAATGTTCTAGATGGTCACTTTCTGAGTATGGAAGAAGACTTTCATGTGCTTGTGGTTTTATTTGTTTTAGTGTTGGTTATATTTTTTGTGTTTATTTTCAAGTTGTTACAAATCTATCCTTTAAGATTTTCTATTTTACATCCTTAAAACTTTAATATTTACATTCTAATCACTCTAAAAGATGAAGAATATATA